AAGTGTCTGGCTATGATCCATTTAACATAATTCAGTATGCTGTTCTGGTCCCCTCTGGGGTTTCCATTATGTGTGAGCATCTGAGGGCTTTTGCTTTATGGCATAATGTTTTGTGAGGTCATTTTACACACAGAGGGAATAACCTGCCAATGGAAAGAAATATCATCTGTATCCAAATGTCTCTCTCCTTTGTTTTTCTTAAATGTTTTTTTCCTTAAGTATTTCTTCCTCTGTAAGAGCACCAAGCCCTAGTTTTCCTGCCTGCTAGTAGCTTTTTATGAAAAGCGCTCTCTCTCTCTCTCTCTCTCTCTCTCTCTCTCTCTCTCTCTCTCTCTCTCTCTCTCCTCTCTCCCCATTTAGCTTTTAAAGCAGTACCAGATGTTGAAAGATACTTTCTCTGATTGGTGTCCAGAGAAAACAAAAAGCACATATCACTTCAAGACCGACCAGGGGAAAATGGACTGAACAAAGGCTTCCAGAGTCAAACACACTGCAGATGGCACAAAAGGAAGCATCTAGAATGATGTGTTTTACCCTTGGATTTCCATTGTTACCCTTCATAGTTGATTTACAGCACTGATGCCGTGGTTCAGAAGGAAAGATAAACAAGAGAAGAGAAGAGCCACACAAAAAGGATTTTGTTCTGCACTTTCGTATTTTGGTCTCCGGGCTTGTGATGTAATCCTAATGTAGAGTTAACTGAAGGAGGCAGCAGTTCTATGGGATATTGAAGGATGTTTTAAGGAGGAAGGGGAACTTGAGGACGGTCCCCAGCATGCAATGGCCTAACTTCTGATTCTTTAACTTTACAATAGTGCAAAAAAAAATTCTATGTTTAGTAGAACATATAGTTTGAATCTTAAATTCTGGTCTTTTCTCAGGTCGATGACTGTTATCGAAGGCTCTCTCACAACACTGGGCAGTGGGAAAAGCTCAGCCATGAGGCCACAGGAACATTGGAACATGCCCCTGTGCTGTGGTATTCAGTAACCCAGGGTATCTAATGCATTTTTACTTAGGGTATGTTTGACTTGGATGCATCAGGATATAATTCATGTAAGTAAAGGAATCTCCATACCCAAGAATTCATATATGGAAACCTGCACCCTAAGGTGACATATTAGAAGGCCAGGCCTTGGGCAGTGACTATCTCATGGGAACTATGCCCCAATGCAAGGATTAGAGCCTTTTTAAAAGGGTGTGAGGGAACTAGCTAGGCCTTTGCCTGCCAGGCTTTCCCATAGAACATAGTATCTGCCTTTCTGTCATGGTGAGGGTACAACAGGAAGGTGCTATCTTTGAAGTAGATCACAAGCCTCACCAAGACACCCATTCTGCTGACGTCTTAGACTTTCCAGCCTCCAAAATCATAAGAAATAATTTTCTTCTCTTATAAGTTGTCCAGTCTAGGGTATTTTGTTATAGCATCACACATGGACTTAAACACCACATAAATTTGAGATATGTTAGGTTAAAAAACAGACTAAATTTTAAATTTTCAAGAGGTTTATGAAGGTCCAGACTTATAGTCTACACAGAATGCTTTTGTTGCCAAATATTTTATAGAATTACTGCCTTTTGGCATTCCTTCATGTGGGAACATTTTGCTAAAAAAATATAAATTTACTTTAAAAAACAAAGTTTATGGTTTTAGTATTGTTTGTGATATAGCATTCATAAAAATGTGCTCCTTGTGCCAGCATAGTATACATAGTCTAGAAGACAGTCAACTCTTGTCTTCTGTCTCCAAAATGCACTCAGATATCTAGTTGTGAAAATATGGAAAATATTTAAAGAGGTACTTAATGGGACATTGCCATGGCAGTAGCTAAGGACAACACTTTGAAAAACTAATGAGGTGGTACCCTGGAGATCCCTGTAACTACAGGAGTGATCCATAAGGAAATCACCAGGAATGGCTAGTGTGTGCCCATCCTGGTTTATTGAAAAGGGCATATTATAGTATTCCAGCAATTAACTTTATATATATATATATTATATATATTTATATACATACATATATATATATATAAAGTTCTTTGACTTCTTTCTTTCCAATTTGTATGCCCTTGATCTCCTTTTGTTGTCTTATCACACTAGCTAGAACTTCAAGTACTATATTAAATAGGTATGGAGAGAGTAGACAGTCTTGTCCTATTGCTGATTCTGCAAATAGATCCATATCTATCACCCTGTACAAAATTCAACTTCAAGAGGACCAAAGGCCTCAACATAAATCTAGTTACACTGAACCTGATAGAAGAGAAGGTGAGAACTAGCCTTGAACACATTGGCACAGGAGACAACTTCCTGAATAGAACATCAGTAGCACAGACACTGAGATCGACAATTAATAAATGAGACCTCCTGAAGCTGATAAGCTTCTATAAGGCTAAGGATGCTGTCAATAAGACAAAAATGGCAACCTAAAGAATGGGAAATAATTTTTCCCAATCCCACATCTGATAGAGGGCTTATTTCTAAAATATATAAAGAACTCAAGAAACTAGACATAAAAAAAACAAATAATCCAATTAAAAATTGGGTACAGATATAAACAGAGAATTCTCAACAGGAATCTCAAATGGCTGAAAGATACTTAAAGAATTGTTCAACATCCTTAGTCATCAGGGAAATGTAAATCAAAATGACTCTCAGATTTCATTTTACACCTGTCAGAATGGCTAAGATCAAAAACATTAATGACAACTCATGATGGAGAGGATGTGGAGCAAGGGGAATACTCCTCCACTGCTGGTGGAAGTGCAAACTTGTGGTTTCTCAGAAAATTGGGAATCAATCTACCTCAAGACCCAGCTATACCAGTCTTGGGCACATACCCAAAGGACACTCCATCCTACCACAAGGACACCTGCTCAACTGTGTTTACAACAGCATTATTCATAATAGCCACAACCTGGAAACAACCTAGATATCTTTCAACCAAAGAATGAATAAAGAAAATGTGGTACATTTACACAATGGAGTATTACTCAGCTGTTAAAAATAATGACATCAGGAAATTTGAAGGCAAATGGATGGAACTAGAGAAAATCATCCTAAGTAAGGTAATCCAGACCCAGAAGGACAAACGTGATATGTACTCATTCATAAGTGGCTACCAGCTATAAAGCAAAGGATAGCTATTCTATAATCCACAGGCCTAGAGAAGCTAGGTAAGAAGGAGGGTCTAAGAGGGATGCATGGATTTCCCTGGGAAGGAAAAATAGAAGATATCTCCTGGGTAAACTGGGTGTAGGTGGGGATGGGAACATGAGGTATCTGGTTGGGGGGCAGGATACAGGGGGAGAATAATGAAAGAGATGTCTTGATGGGAGGGGCAATTCGGGATCAGCTAGAAACCTGGTACCAGGGAAACTCCCACAAATCTATAAGGATCACCCCAGCTAAGACTCCTAGCATTAGTGGATAGGAAGTCTGAACTGGCCATCTCTTGTAATCAGATTGGTGACTACCCCAATTGTTATCAGAGAGCCTTCATCCAGTGACTGATAGAAAAAGATGCAGTGATCCACAGCCATGCACTGGGCCTTGGAATCCTGTTGAAGAGAAAGAGGAAGGATTATATGAGCCAGGGAATCAAGGTCATCATAAGGGACCCCACAGAAACAACTAACCTGGGCTCATAGCAGCTCACAGACATTAAACTGACAGCTAAGGAGCCCTCATGAGACTAACCTAAGCCCCCTACATACCTGTGACAGTTGTATAGCTTGGTCTACTTGTAGAACTCCTAGCAGTGGGAGGAGGGCTTGTCCCTGACACTTTGGCAGGCTTTGGGGGACCTATTCCTCATACTGGGATGCCTTACTAAGCCTTACTACAAGGGGAGGAGCTTAGTCCTACCTCAACTTGATGTGTCATACTTCATTGACACCCATGGGAGGCCTATGCCTTTATGAACAGACACAGAGGAGGAATGGATTCATGGGGGGGGACAGAAGGGAGGTGTGGAGATGGAATGAGAGGAGAGGAGGGGAGAGAAACTGTGGTTGAGATATAAAATGAATGAATAAATTTAACTAATAAAAAAATATAAAGCAGCCATTGGCAGTTTGGCCAGTTAAAAATTAAAAAAAGAAAGAAAAAAGAGTGGGAAATTCTGTGGTGGTAATGGTAGAAGAAAAGATAAGAGAGAAAGACACACACACCACACACACACACACACACACACACACACACACACAGATGAGAAGCTAATAAGATTGTCAACTAAGCAAGTGTCTTATGACATCCAATGTCATGGATAAAGAGTAAAGCCCCAGCTCTGTGTAGATATTGGATTATGTACCTTCCAAATGCATAGCTACTGTCCAGATAAATGCACTAATTGCATTAGGTAGTGTGAAACACTGCAAACAGCTTGGGAACCTTGTGACTGATTACCTTGGGGCATTATGAGGTATCCAAGGGCACCAGGTTGGGAATTCATTGTTTGGATGGTGTTGATAAAACCATGCAGGGCTCTAGAAGGTCTCAGTTAGGAAATCTGATGAGGTTCCCAGATTTTATTGTTTTTACTGAGCTCTATAAACAACCTAAAGTGGCTTCTTTTTATTTCCTGGTATCTCCTGTCACCCTGTCTTGTAACCTGCTTGCAGTTGCTATGGAAATGGCACGGGAATCTTGACTGATTCGTTCAGAAGAAATTTTATCTCCTTCTGAAGCCGTTACCTTTAAAAGCAGCATTCAAATTATTTATGAAAATTGGGTCACTGTACCATATGGTAATTGTAAATGCTGCTATTTAAATTGATTGAAGGGCATGAAAATGACACTTCTGATTTCATCTTTGTTATATCCGATGGGTCCTTTGAGGTTACTGTGTTTAATCTGTGTCTAATGTAATTCTCGAGTTTCTCTCTTCCTTTTTCTTTCCTGCTTTTTTTGGTGCACATGTGTGATGCTCCTATTTTGACAATTCCATTGTGGGCACATAGAGTGGACTTAGCCAAAGAGAGAACCCTGCCTTTCTCTAGGTTCCACTCAAGTCATTGTGTGGAATGTAAATAAATGAGAAAATCATTCACTGCTTCAGGATTCACCTCTCATCCTGAATTCATGACCCTTAGGAGGCCCAGGGCATAATTTTGAGGTGCTTTTCTTTACATATTATGACAAGAATGAACTTAAGAGAACTGGGAATCCTTTCCTCTTGCCATAGACAAGTAAGGAGTCAAATGCCTTCACCTTTTTTTTCTAATCTCAAACAAAAAATATTGGCTATTCACTGTAATCCAAAGCATTGAATGGGAGTCTCAGGTAAACCAATTGCAGATGGCTCAGGTCTGCTGTGGGATGGTCTGTATGTCAAATTATTCTGATTGGTCAATAAATAAAACACTGATTGGCCAGTGGCTAGACAGGAAGTATAGGCGGGACTAACATAACAGAGAGGAGAAAAGAAAGAACAGGAAGGCAGAAGGAGTTACTGCCAGCCGCCGCCAGGATAAGCAGCATGTGAAGATGCCGGTAAGCCATGAGCCATGTGGCAAGGTATGGATTTATAGAAATGGATTAATTTAAGCTATAAGAACAGTTAGCAAGAAGCCTGCCACGGCCATACAGTTTGTAAGTGATATAAGTCTCTGTGTTTACTTGGTTGGGTCTGAGCGGCTGTGGGACTGGCAGGTGACAGAGATTTGTCCTGACTGTGGGCAAGGCAGGAAAACTTTAGCTACATAGGTCTCCCTACACAACAAATGATGAGGCCTTTTAAGAGTTGAAAACTTCCTGCTTCCCAATTTACTCAGAGACTTGACCCCATCCTTCAGTCAGTTCATCATCTTAGTGCATGAGGAGATGAAGTCAGTTCTGTGGAAAGTGATGTTTTCCATGGAATAGGATACCCTAGCCATGCTACCATCTACTGCAGGAAAAAAAGAAAATAGGAAGTCTCTACAGACACATATTTGAATGCCTGGCATAAGAAGCCACAGGTTTGAGAAGTATTTATTTTGAGGAAATCCCAAGGCTCAGAGACCTTGGTACTCCCAGGAACTGTGGCGGACAAAAGACCCAAGCATCTTTTTGGGTGGAGACTTTGGTTGGTGTGTGACAAGCTTGCACCTCTTTCCTCTGGCTTTCCCTTTTCCTCTCAATAAGATTTAGCAGCAGTAGCCCAGCCTCATTGCCACCAATGTAGACTTCTGGGTATCTTTTTGAGATAGGATCTTACAACTTGGCATAGGCTGGCCAGGAGCTTGTGACTCTTCTGCCTCAGTCTCCCCAGAGCTGAGATTAAAGACACGAATGGTTGCAAAATAGCACTTGGCCAAGAAAAACCCATCATTAGCCATGTTCAGCTTTTCTAAGCCCAGCATGCAAGCCCTGCCTTGAATTTTAGAATAGGAATGGAATAGAGATTAATTTCCAGCTACATCTGATTTCGATAAGGCACTTGCTTCCATAAGAACTTCTTTTTTAAATTTTATTTTATAATTTAACTTAATTTAACATATCAGCCACAGATTCCCTTGTTCTCTCCCCCACCGCCCTACCCCGGGCTTCCCCCCAGCCCACCCCCCATTCCCATCTCCTCCAGGGCAAAGACTCCCCTGAGGAATGAGTTCAACTTGCTAGATTCAGTCCAGGCAGGTCCAGTCCCCTCCTCCCAGGCTGAGCCAAGTGTCCCTGTATAAGCCCCAGGTTCCAAACAGCCAGCTCCTAAATATAACACCAGTAGCACAGACACTGAGAGAAACAATCTATCGATGGGACCTCTTGAAACTGAGGAGATTTTGTAGAGCAAAGGATACAGTCAACAAGGCAAAGTGACAGCCTACAGAATGGGAAAAGATCTTCACCAACCCCACATCTGACAGAGGACTGATATCCATAAGAACTTCTTACGTCCATAAGAACTCACAGAAGATGCACTCTACATATGGAGAATGAAGATGCAAAAAGCTATAGGAAGGGAAGTATGTCAGGATTTCAGTAAAGTATTCCACTTGTACAGAATCATGACACACTCTAGGAGTGAGTCAACAATGGCCAAGCTGGACCACGACTTAGTGTCATAAATAATTGCTTTCTGTTGGTTTTTATTTTGGTTTTAAGGTTGGATCTCACTATATAGTCCTGCATGACCTGAAACTCAAGTCAGGACCACATTGCCCTTGAGTGCCCAAAGATCCACTTGCCTCTGCCTCCTGAGTTCTGGGTTTCAAAGTGAGCACAACCACACCAGACAATGACTGAAGTTTCGTGGTGGTACATCCTGCACTGTGGAGCTGAGTCATTACAATATATGATGAAGCCTTAGGCTATTGAAATACTACCTGGCTCTTGACATAAATGAAATTGCCCAATCAAGGTGTTCACCATCCCTTGCAGTGTCTTTGCGTTAAGAATTAAAGGTAAACATCCTTAAATCTATTTACTAAGTCTGGAGTCATCATGGGAATCGCTCCATCCCCGGGAAGGGTTGCAGTTTGTCTGCATCCCTAATAGCAAGTAGCATTTTCCTGCAGAACTTGGCCTGTAATTAACAAATGCATTCAGGCTTGGCAGTGACATGATGGCTAAAGCTTATAACTCAGCATCCTCACTCTAGTTGAGGAGAAAATAAGGCTTGTAGCATGCTGTTTTCCATCCCCTAGATGGAACCTTTAGTTAACAATCAATGCCATTGTGTGCCTTTCCTGAGTAATTTTTCCCTGTCAAGACCAGAAAGCCTGAATGAGGGCATCACTTCTAAGTCTGTATAATTTTTCCATGACAATTTTTTTGAAATTTTATTTTATGCATATGGCTGCCTTGTCTGCATGCATGTCTGTGTACCATGTGCATTTCTGGGGTCCACAGAAGTCAAGGGAAGGTAACTGCAGTTACCAATGGATGAGAGCGGCCATGCAGGGACGTAGAATTGAACTTGGGTCCTCTGAGAGAGCAGCCAGTGCTCTTAACCACTGAGCCATCTCTCCAGCACCCTTTATGTTCTTTTTAAAATAGATTCTTTAAGTAGCATCTAAGGAAAAAAAAGAATTAACTGGTTCTTAAGAAATAAAAAAAGTTTCCCTTCTAAGTTAAACTTTTAACAAAAAGCCAGAATGACTATGCTTGATAGGAATTGTTAATGACTCACAACAATATACACATTTCATAAGAAAATGGCTGATACACTGAAGAGGAACATAGGCAGCCCAAAACTTCAAGCAAGATTCACCTTCAAGTCTGTAATTTTGTTTAGAGACAGTGATGCACCCACTTATAGAAAATTGAAGAAAAACAAAATGATCCCTGAACTTGTGGCTCAGGATTGAGATGCTATAGACTTCCCCTGTGTGCCAGGCCAAGTACAGTCAGACCACATACAGCCACAGCATCAAGTGCAGCCACACCAAGTACAACTACATAACCAAGTACAGTACATCGCCAAGCACAGTCACACCAAGTACAGCCACATAACTGAGTACAGCCACATCACCAAGCACAGCCAAAGCACCAAGTACAGCCCTGAGCACTGCACATAAAGCAAGCACAAGCAGACACTGAATGGGGAGGAGGTACTGAGGTTCAAAGAATGATAGGATGATGCTGTCTATGAAATAAGGAAGTTAGATGCCCACTGTCTACCTAGTGGTAGGGAGTAGAATTTGCCTTCATTTGGCAAAGCAGTGTCCAAAGCAAACTGAAAAAGGATAAAGTTAAATACCTGTGTACATCCTCACACTCAAGAACCCTAGCATGTAACGGAAGATCTGTCACCTGACCAGGGGCTAGGAAAACCCAAGCTCAGATGAGAAAAAAGACCAATAGATAGCACTAAGAAGGTGCCACAAATGCAGAAAACAGTCACCGATGACGTTACAACAGCCATCCGAACAATGCTTGTGTGAGTAGAATCTCAGATGAAAGAAATTATAAGACAAAATGTCTCAGAAAAAACAACAATAACAACAACATATAAAGAGGAGTCGGTTGAATGCTTTAGACATGAAAAACACAATAGCCCAAACCAGCACTTCAGCAGACAGCCTCAACAGTAAAATATAGAAACAACTCAGGGAGAGGAGGGGATTTTACAGGATGTGATATTTCTATACATCATCGATGGGTCTTTCTTGACAGGTTCTTAATTATACACACAATACAATGTCTTAGAACCGCACACATCATTGTCTATGAAACAGGAAGCATGACTTCCCCCGGACATGGGAACCACTAGCACCTTTATTTTTGAGTTCTTCTTGGTGACTTCCTGTTGTTTATAAGCCACCTAGGGCATGGTTCTTTTTTTTTAACAGCAACACAAATGGACTAATATATAAATGGTACTTGCTGGAAGGAACTGGGTGAGGGATGGGGATATCCAGATCTTATATTCCTACTGTAACCTTCTAGAAAACAATAATCAGATTTAAATTTTTTTAATAGGAGCTGCAAAGACAGCTCTGCAGTTAGGAGCATTACTTCTCCTAAAGAGGTGACCCCAGCACCCACACAGAGGCTCACAACAGCCTGTAACATTGGTCCCTGGGGGGTCTGATGCATCTTCTGACCCCCCATAGACACCACACATACATGATGTACAGATATATGTGCAGGAAAAACACAAACATAAAATAGAACACTTAAAAACTCATAATAAATATTATTAATGGCTGCAGGTGGATATGTCTTTATATCGTAAGATAAGTTTCTGGAAATGGGTAGTGGTGGCTGTGCAGCCTTGTGACTAAGCATTTTTACTGTCCCTGAACTACACACTTAAATGATAAAAATAATAATTTTTATGCCATATATAGTTTTAGTACAAAAAAAAGGAAAGCTGACTCTGGATTTATTTCAGCTGGTAAAGCGGCTTCCTAGTAGGCACCGGGTCCTGGGGTTCAGCCCACAGCAGGCTTTCTTGGTGGCATGTGCCTGCTGTCCCAGCATTTGTGAGTCAGAAGTTCAAGGTTGTCCTTGACAGCATAGTGAATTAGAGATCAGCCTGGACTTCACAAAACCTGATCTCCAAAGAGAGGAGGGGAGAAGGAGGAGAAGGAAGAGGATGGGGAGGGAAGGAAGAGGAGCGTGAGGTGGGAGAAGAAGGAAGGAGAGGGACGGGAAAGAGGTGGAGGGGAAGGAGGAGAAGTGGGTGGGAGAAGGGAGGAGGCTAAGCTAGCAAAACCGCTCTTTCCCAAGCTTATCAGATCCAATCTCTTAGAAAATAGGAAACTAATCCAGGGCAGGAAACCACTTAGCATGGAAAATTGGTTCAATCGCATGTACATTTTATTCTCTTTTGTTAGACACCTGCTTTATTTAATTATGGGTATGTGCACATGATAATGTATGTGGACATGAATGAAGCCAGAAGCATTGACTGCCCTGGACCTAGAGTCACATGCACTTGTGAGCTGCCAGGTGTGGGTGCTGGGCATCAAACTGGGCTCCTCTATGAGAGCAGTCTGTGGTCTTCATGGCTGAGCCATCTCTCCAGCCCCCATTTCATCCTCCTATTCATCCTTTCAACATTTGGTGTTTCTGGTGCCATCTGGTGATCAAGAGAGTCAGGAAGTTTAAGGTAGTATATTAACACAGTTCTTTAACCTTTGTTGACAAATGGCTTTGGCCTATGATCGTATTCTATAGGATATCTGCCTGAAAAAAAAAAGGTATCTTAAATATCTCTATGGGACCTTATTCAAATCAAAGTACACTTGTAAAAGGAAACAGAATTCCTAAGCAAATTCAGCCTCAAGAGAGTTTGGAGCACAGCAGTCATCAAAGCTCGCTCTTCAACTTGGTCCATTCAGTTTGTCCAGTCGAGATAAGCTTGTGCTTGGGAATACTATTTGAGCCTTTAAAAGGCATGCTGTTGATTCTGCTAAAATCTACTCATTTTTCCACTGCAGCACGCTTGAACTTCTGTGTACTCTCAGACGTAGCAAAAACGTGGGCTCCTCAAAAGCCAAGTGATTGGTGGAAGGTTTCCCTCAGCCTTTTTTACAATTAAGGAAAAGTCGGGAGGGTATGCATGTTTGAGTGAGTTCCTTTGATTCATTTTCCTGTAAAATGAAAATCTTCGTGATTTCCAGGCAAAATAGCTGTAACACCATTCACAACCCAGAATTCAAAAGATTATCGCCAGCCAAAACAGCTCTTTTATTTTATTGACATGCCTTCTCATTCCAGAATAGACATAAGGCAGCTGTGAAATCACAGGTACTGGCTTGTATCAGGTATCAGCCCATAATATCAGGTATCAGCCCAGGATTGGGATGGACTGAGAGTTATCACGTGGAGGTTGCCTTTACATGGCTGAAGCTGACAGACCTCGTTCAAAGTCAAATTCTGTCACTTTCTCCTTTGTGGCCAAATACAAGTTCTTCATCCTCTCTTAGTCTTTCCCTTGGTAAAATGGGAGGAAGTGGTCCTTTCCATCTCACCATGACCAGCTCTAACAATGATGGTGCAGACACTTTCCCATAAGCCCCAAAGCAGAGAGCACTCAGTTAAGAGAAGTGTCTTGAATTTAGTCTCTCTCCTTATGCATAATATATGCATTCTTCATTTGATACCCAACGGCATAGAAAGCTTAGGCAGTTTGTCCTAAAAGGGCAAGGTTTGGATCCATACATTTCTGCCTCTAGAACTCGTGGCTCTTTTACCATCAATACGATTCTATTTACCCTATTTTATTAAAGAGCAGAGTGCGCATAACTATAATACTGGAAGTTATAAGGAGACTGCTGGGCTCACAAACTCTGGCTGCAGTTTTCCTCCTCTATTTCCTCTACTTATTCTGCCTCAGGATGAGGGAAACGTTTACATGTTGAGGAGGAAATCAACCATTGTCTAAATTTTGATTATTCTTACACAGACAGGTGATGCTTCCGGATTCCAGAGGAGGATTCCAGAGCTTCAAACAACCGCCTTTGCTGTTAGCTCTCAGACTATATCAGCCCAAGGGAGACAGAAGAGGGCGAAGCTCTTTGGGTGCACACCAGTAATGGGCAAAACTGCTGGTGTCTCTCTGCCTGGTTGTATACGGTGTCCTACTAGGGAGACAAGGGAGACAGATGACCACCACTGAGACAACATCATCAACCATGGAATCTTTGCTCAGGACCGTCTCCCCATCCAGACCTCCTTTGCTGAGTTTCAATTGTTTGTATGTACATCATACAGGGCATGGTGTCCCAGTTGTTTATTTAGCCAGAAAAGCAAGATGAGTTCCACATCATCATCCCCCACCCCTTTTTCTTGTATTTCTTCCTCCTCCACCACCAGCAATATTATCACCAACATCATTACCACCGTGATCATCACCATCATCATGCTTGCCTCTGTCTCCCTAAACTTATGTTTCCACTTGGATGCTATCTGAATATGCCCTGAAACTTCCCTTAAAATCATTTTCCATTCAATGAGGAAGACTGAAAATCCATCCCTGCAACTCCCGTTTGGAGCGGACAGCAATTTTTTAATGTCGCCTGTTACCCAATAGAAGTGTATTTTCTGGAATCTTGTATGATTTCTCTCCCACTCATCTCATGCAGCCTGATTGAAAACCCCCATTTTACCTTTATGGCTTCGCTTGTCACCTTTGTAAATTACAGAGCCGGCTTCCCGAGACACTGGTGCAGCCAGGAATTTATTTCAAACTGACATTTTTGGTGTGCCCGCATGTGGCCCTATTTGTTCACTGAAAGCTGCAGGACTGGGAATATGGATACTTTAACGTCTCACCAGGCTTTCATCTCTCTCGCCGGGCTGTCCCTTTGCTGACACGGACCATTATTTTTCCCTCACTCAGCCACTCCGATTCACTTTCTGCAAACCTCCACATTTTCTCATCAGCTTGTGACGCGCGCTGACACATCCCACATTGGTTATTTATTTTGACATTTGTGTGTGTGATACACCTAATGTGGGACGAACCAAAGAGTCAGATAACCAGTTATTTTAGACCCGAGAAACAACTTCATTATCTTGTGAAATGTACTTTCAACACTCCATCCTAACAGGCAATGAATGATGTTGTGTAACACGAGTGTGCCAATTACCTTTGGAGATGAAGCCTTGCGCCCTTGGGACTGACAGGATGCAAAGTGAGACCCTTTTATTCTGGTAGGAGTCTGGATTTCTGAACAAGCCCAGAAATCATCCAAGGCTAACATAGAACTCATATGAACTTGAATGGACTTCCACGTTTTCTTCCCTGCAGATTTCCAGTCCCACCTGATTCCTGTTCAACCTGGCCCCAGGCTTGGAGACCAATTAAAGAAATTGAAAGCACCTTCCCTCAGGAGCCCCACTACCTCTCATGAGGTTGGCCTCTGTGGGTTCTACTGTGTCCATCAGCTCTAACTCATGTCTGTGTATCCATGGTGATAAAACCTTGTTCTCTTCCCCTTTGCTGGTTCTGTTAAGCACTGCTCGGGTGTTTGAAGGACCCTTGCTTCCAGACTTGGATCTTCTTTTGCATAGTCCATATTTCATCAAAGGACCCTTGAGAGCCCCTCCATGTGGGAGATGCTGCCACAGACTTGGCTCTTCTTTACCCTGTGCCCTATACGTAGTCAGACTTGGTGCCTGAATGTGTCTAGAAGTTTGGCCAGCACAGCAATGGATACAGTAGGAGCTCAATAATTACCTTTAAGTGGACTTTTCTTGGCTGGTGACTCTCAGGATAAATTTCACAAAGGCAAAAACAGTTTGTTGCCATGATTGGCATCCATGGAGTATAAGCCAAGAATGCCGCATCCCAGCCCCAAATGTACAACACACACACACACACACACACACACACACACACACACACACACACAAATGTGCATATAAAATACACATATATGAAAATGGGAAAAAGGGGGATAAAAAGGCAATGTGAAAAAGCGCATCCCTCATGAGCAATCGTTGGCATGCAAGGAGAGGATACGTGAGAGCACCTTTGACCAGTTATAAGTCACTGAACAGAAGATGTGACTGGAAATAGCCAGGCATGCAAACATGGAAAAGACGGGTTCGGAGTTAAGGAAACCTGAATTCAGTCTTGACAACTATCAGGTAATAGCGATGAGATTTTTAGAAGCTAACCTCGGTGAGCCTCATTTTGCTCTCCTACAAAATGGTATTGCAGTGAAGATTATGTATGAAATATTCAGCAGAGAATTTGATCCAGAGTAGATACTTAAAATACACTTTCCTGTTATTCATTGGTATTAACTGCTATTATTAATTAGTTCTTCAGTAGTGATGGACATAGACTAACTGAATGATAGGCTCTCACCCCACATCTCAGGAGACACATTGCTTGGTGCACATTTGTAAGATCGACCTGTGTTAGGTAAGCCCTTGAGTAGGCTAAAATTGGCCATAGGAAATATCACACCCATCCCAGTCTCATTAGAACAAGGGCTTAAATGATGTGCATGACTTTGGGATGACTCCTTTGGATCTGTGGTAAAGAGAACGGTAAGGAGAAGGAAGGATGGACTGTTGACCTGATAGAGTTGGCTTTCTTACAAAGAGCCTAGTTGAAGCCAAAATCGAAGTGGTTAGACTGTCGTAGTTTTTCACACAACTTTCAAAAATTCAAAGAGTTTGACTTCAAAACAATTTTATTTTTAAATAGCTGCTTTTACTTTTAGAAAGCTGCTTTTCCTGGCCTCAAAAAGGGCCAGTGGCTTCATGTAAAAACACCTGGCAATTACCTTTCAATTTCCTCAGGCACTGAAAATTCCAGTGTTCCAAAGACCGCCGTGACATCTGACTGCTTGTGCACTAGGACTCTTCTGTCCGAGCATCTCTATAGCAGACGTGAGTCCGTGGTAGGCACTTAGTGACTACAGCAGAGCTGAAGAGCCCAGCTAAAGCCATCTCCTGGCACTGCCAACCTTCTAGACGGCTGGGACCAAAATATTTATTGATCCCTCTATATCCAGACACTGTGATCATCCCAGGGTAAAATGATGAAAAGGTGCACACGGTCTGCAGCTTCATGTTTTCAGAATCTAGAATTTTTAATTCAAATACAGACACCCAAGACCCAGTGCTCATGGTTAGGATGTTGAGGGTTGTGGAAGAGACTTTGAACACAAATGTATTTGAAGATGGGGTCTAATTGAAAGATGGTTTAATATCTTCTCCACTTTAAGAAAAAAAAGCTTTTACACATACACATATGCCCATCCACATCTGCATGCACTGCATACACACACACACACACACACACACACACACACACACACACACACACACACACTTCCATGTGCTGAAGTTGCCGGTGTCAACCTTTCAGAGCTAAAGAACAGAGACATTCCCACTTTGATGAACACAGATGCCTATCTGCTTCTAAAAGTTTCCCGGAGTTTTATGGTCCCTGACACTGCCACCCCTGGGTTAGGCCCCTCGAACTGGAGTTTTCTGCAGGCTTACTGGCGAATCTAATGTCATAATGTAACCCATCTACATACACCTCATCACACAGCTGATTTATTATGTAGAAACATGTGAAACCCCACCGAACTATCAGTGAGGTAAGTTAGCATTTTTAATGATGACTGGTACAAATGGGTCTAAATAGTCTGTTTCAGAAGATTGTGGGGCCTGAGGACACTTCTGGATAGGCACTGATAATGGATTGTATATTCTTTAGAAGTGTGCTAGGCAGGCTGGAGAGATGGCTCAATAGTTAAAAGCACTGGCTGCTCACTTCCAGAGGACCCAAGTTCAATCCCCCACAGCTCACAAGCATCTGTAACTCTACTTGCAAGGGATCTGAAGCACTCTTCTGGCCTCCAAGGGCACCAGGCATATGTGTGATGCACAACATACAGACAGATAAAACACCCATATACACAAAATGCAAATAAAAATAATTTGGAAGACAAAGTGTGCTAGTTCTAAGGGAGCTGGGTCCAGTTCAAGGAATCAAGTGGAGGGGCATCCTCTCCGATAACTCTGAAGCAGACATGCTTGCTCAGCCCAAGAGCCCTTTGTCATTAAGTCTAGATACAGCTTCCAGATCGCTCCACACCCAGCGCCCCAGGAAGAGGGTAGAGTCATCTAACCTGAGGAAGGAGAGAACCATCGCTTGCAAGTTCACCTTCTCCTCCCTCAAGCAGATTTTCAGGGAGAAAATCCTCCTATTTGCAAACAGCCCTTGAAGAAAATGAAATAGACATGAAGACTTTCCCATCTGCAGGGCTTGCTTGGGTGAGTGGGTTGTCTCTAGAAATTGCCTTCTTAGGATTACGACCATGTTCCTCCCACCTTACCTCTTCTGTGTCCATTTTGGAGGAAAGCACCTCGTTTATCTTTGGGAGACAGGCATGCCGACACTGTCCCTGAGTAGATTTCCCCCGGAGGATCCAAATATTTGTGTTAAATGGAATGAGAAACAGACTAAGTGCCAGCACAGATCCTCCGGGAAAGGGTATTTCGTAATTTTGAAAAAATTCTACTGAAATTCTTCCCTTGCCAAGAAAAGAGGAATGATTTCTATTAAAATGACTTCATGTCTGAATTACTCTCTGCCCCTCGGGAGCACAGAACATTACAGCTTTCATACTTGGTAATTTAGAAGTACGGAGAACACCTTATTTGGAAAGCGTGCAGACTTAACGTGAAATGTTGGGTATTAAGTATTTTCCCTACAAAAGTCTGCTTTTGAATAATGTGCACGTGAACTGTTCAGATCGAAGCCAGCCTCAGAGCTGGTAACTCCGGTTGTCTTCTTAAGTCCTTTTAACTTCCTAGCCTGATGTCACCATTTCTGGAAGCTACAGCGAACATCTTTGGATAGGTGTCCAAGAGTTTTGCCTTTCACAGACGTTGCAATGGATGGCATCCCTTTAATAAGGCTGCTGTGTGCCTTAAGGCATGTACATGGGCATATTTCATTAGAACCTGTGTTCACACTTCCACATATGTTAATACAGGGGCCTACTATGGGCATTAGAAAGGTGTAATAAAAAAATTTTAAATAGGTTTAAACTCATGTACCAACTCACACAAGGTTTTATGGATCTCACTGAGATGGGGTTGAAAAAACTTCTGAGGCCAAATTAAGGTTCAGAAAAAAATTATAAATGCAAAATAAAAGGCTGAGTATTTTTTGCTGTGATCCCAAGTGACAAATCCTGAGGTTCAAAGGTCAATACAATTGCCATCCTTCAAACACACTAGATATCTGCAGATGGGGTTGGAGAGATGGCTCTGTGGTTAAGAGAGTCTACTGAGTTCAGTTCCCAGCACCCAAGTCAGGCAGCTCATAACTGTCAGTAACTCTAGTCCAAGGAGATCTGATGCCCTGTCTGGCCTCCAGGAGTACCAGACTCACACATGGTAGACAGACATGTACTTGGGCAGAACACCCACACTCATAAAACAAAATAAAATGAGAATTGCTTTTCATGTTCCCCAGTTTTCTACAGTAGACACATGTGGATTTGCAAAAAGATCATAACTTTCCAATTTTTAATGATAAAATGGATTTGACCATTTTTCCCCTCCATGTTTTCAAAGCTTAGGGGAACTAATTATCTTCTTTGTTCCTTGGCCAGACAATGTCATCTTTGGGACCAATAAAATGTCTGGTAGAGGTATAAGGTCTGTTTCTATGTGTTAAAAGTCAGTCATCCTTTGGAATATTAATTAATAGCTAATTATTGGAGTTATGCTAAGGCATATTCATAGACTTTATTCTAGGGGTAGTATTCCCACCATTATTACTCTGTAAATGGGAATGGGTTAAACAGAAACAGATGTAAGCCAGCTGCAATAGCAGAGGAGGGAGAATACAGACTGAATGTGACTGAGTTGAACAAAGGTTTCATTCTCTCTCTGTCTCTGTCTCTCTCTGTGTCTGTCTCTCTCTGCCTCTGTCTGTCTGTCTGTCTAACACACACTCCCTCTCTCTCATGCATGCACACACAAAAACCCTACCTGTCCAATGCACATAATGCACAGAGAAATACATTCATCTCTTGATATACAAGGTGGGAGAAGGCTAATTACAGGACCTTCTACGTGAACACCAACAGCAGCAGATTCTGAAGTGATAGAGATAGATAGATAGATAGATAGATAGATAGATAGATAGATAGATAGATAGATAGATAGATAGATGATATATTGATTCATAGATAGATAATAGATAGATAATAGTGTAGTCTTTGCTTATATCCTAACACATATCATCCCAAATATTTTAGATCACCTCTATATTACCTGTAACACTCCAAACAATAACTATGTAACTGTCATACTGTATTCTTCAATGAATAACACTAAAAGGAAACAAAGCCTGTACGTGTTCAATATAGACATTTTAAAGTACATATATTTCCAGTGACTT